AGGAAGGAAGGAAGGAAGGAAGGAAGGAAGGAAGGAAGGAAGGAAAGGAGGGAAGGAAGGAAAGAAGGAGGGAGGTAGGAAAACAGAAGTAGAAGAAGAGGAAGAAGAAAAGACTTGGCTAGAAAATGGCTCCTGGTGCCATGTCTAAGTTCATGAATGACTCAGCTGGGACTCCTGGGTAAGAAAGATACTTCACTGAGTCTCTCAGATTTATCATCATTAAAATGAAGACAAATGCCTAACTCAAACTTTCCTACATACTGAAAGCTCACAAATGTACAAAAACACTGGTATGAAAATGATTTGAAAATTTCTTTTGCACATCATGGCAATATGTGGCTATACCTAATATTTTATTATCAACAGAGATTTCTTAATGCTCACTCAAAAGGCAAGAACACAGCTGCTACACACTGTAGTCAACTGCTTGGCACTTACCTTGTTGCCTAAGTGAGGGATCTTCAGAACGCCATCTTGCCACACCTTTGACTTCTTCATCTTTTGATGAGTATAGAGGACCTTATTTCCAAAAATACAAAAGACATTATTGCTATTTATAAGTTTTATCTTGTATAGTTTACAAGTGAAAGAGTCTGGGAATGTAGCTCACTGGTAGACTGAGTGCTTAGCATCATGTGGCCTTGAGTTCAACCACCAGCATGAAAAAAGGAAAAAAAAAAGGTTTAAAGAAAGGAAGGTGGTTGACTAGCTGGGCAGTACTGAAAGTTAAAGAACAAAAGGGCAAGGAAAAGTCTAAACAGTCCTTTAGTTAACTGAGCATCAAAAATACTTTTAAACCACCAGCCACATCAGCAGTGGGAAGAAACACAATTATTGGGCTGCACATTACTTCTTATTCACATAGCTCCGAGTACAGTCTCCTCAACCTTCATAGCAGCTGAGGTCAGAACTTCATATTGTTTTTGATTTTAGATTTTGCTTCCATCAGTGAAAGAACAGTTTCCAAGCATTATGTGGGGTGCCAGATTTAATTACAGACTGAATACAGAAACAAGTGTGAAATCCATCTATTACTAAATCAAATGTTAAAGAAATTTAGAAGAAAAAAAAAAAATCTAGCAATGCAGGAACAAGTGAAATAGCTCATTGCCTCGCAGGCATGAGGATCTGACTTTGAGCCCTAGAATCCATATAAAATGCTAGACATGGTTACGCATCCTATGAAGACACAGGAGGATGCCTAGGATCCCCAGCCAGTCTAACCTAATTGGTACACTCGAGGCCAGAAAGAGGCCGTGTCTCAAGGAAGTGGAGGGCATTTCTAAGAATGGCACGCACATACACACATGTGCATGTACACAAGCACACAACAGACTTTGAAAACCTTCAAAAGCATCTAACAATGCTGCTCTCATAAATGTTTCTCCTAGTGTAGTTACTACTTTAGAAAATTCAGTTACTTATCATTAAAATGTAATATATTAGTTATTTTTTAGTATTTTTAAAATGTCTTTATGTCTAGCATAAATAATAAGATAGAAGCTCTATGTACAACAGTTATTTAGTGTATAAAAAGGTCTTAAATAATTTTTAAAAGTCTAAATAATGTGTCATTATAGACAGAAGTCTCTTAAAGTGAAAAGAAGTTTTTACAAATGACCCTACAGTATGTACAAATAATAAGTAAAAAATAGGCTTCCCAGATAAACTACAGTACAATATTTGGGACAGTTATACTAGAAAATTATTCACTGTTTATCTGAGATTCAAATTTAATTTTATATCCTGTTTCTTTTTGTTTTGTTGAATCTGGCAGTGCAAACAAGACACTTGAGAGAGCCAAGAAGAAATAGAAAAAGAGGGAAGGGAGTAAAGAAGGAAAGAAAAAAAATATTTTAATTAGTCAGACTTAGGGGCTGGGGGTATAGCTCAATTAGTAGAATGTTCATCCAATGTGCACAAGACTGGTTTTGATCCCAGCACCACATATACAGGATGTGGTGCTGCAAGCCTGTAATTCCAGCCCTTGAGAGAAAATGGCATGAGGACCAGAAATTCAAGGTGGTCCTCAACTTCACCAAGAGTCTGAGACCAGCCTGGGACACATGAGGTCCTGTCTCCCACCCCTCTCCCCACAAAAAGGAAAATCATTAAAACTTACAATAAATTCTTGGATTTCCATTGTTTCTTCTGAGATTATAAATAAGTCCGAAAATAATCACTTTTTATTCAACAAGTTATATCCTATTAAAAAAAAAATAGCAAAGAATGGTCAATAAACCCTGATAAAAAGAATAAGTACCAAATATAACGTTTCTCAATACATTTTCACTAGAGACAGAAACCAAAGACTTCCAAGACTATCTGGCCTCCAAAAGAGAGAAAAGTTTTTCTGTCATGGCGGACAGAACTGATACCACATAATGAAAATTAAGATAAAACTAAGCAAAATTCATAAACTTATTAATAATCTGTAAATATCTCCCCAGTGCCTTACTATGTATCAGGAAATGGATTGTATTTTTATTCTTCAATACATTTTGCTCCTTAGAATTCAAATTCAATTTTTTTTTCTAAATCATTATATTCACCACAAGATGGCCCCCTCGTGTCTTAAATTCTCCTATAGAGTAGTTCCTTGGTATCCAAGAACTACTTTCAGAACCACAAATACAAACATCTGAAGCCACTTGAGTTCATATATAAAATGTCATAGTTTTTTTGTATATAATATAGGAGTATGTGCACATTCTCTAACATACATTAAATCATCTCTGGATTATACCTAATGCATTGAAAAATGACATGCAAATAATGACTAAGCTGTATTATTTAGGAAATGATAGCAAGGGGAAGGGGATGAGGGAAAGAGGGAGAAAGGGAGGGACTGGAGGAGTTGACGGAGGGTGCTTCAATAGAGATATATAATGAATAAATTGTAAAGAAAAAAAATTAAAAAGAAAAGAAATGGTAGCAAGCTTAGTGGCACACACCTTTGATTCCTGATTTCAGGGCACAGGAGAATGAGTCAGGTTGATCTCTGTGAGCTCAAGGCCAGCCTGGCTGCCTACTCTACATAGAGAGCTCCAGGACAGCCAGGACTACATAGATAAACACAGTCTAAAAAGGAAACAACAACAAAAAAAGATAACAAAAAAAAAAAAAAAAAAAAAAAAAAACCAAAACAAAAAACAAAAAAAACCCTACATGTTCAGTACTGACGATTTTTTTCTGGATATTTCCAGTCTAAAGTTGGATGAATTCACATACAGAAATTAAAAACACAGAGGGCTGACTATATATACCTTAGTCAATGTGACAGCATCCTAGGACCAAATAAACATTATATAATTCCTCTGCAAGGAACCATCTTTTTCCCCCCCTTTATTTTCCTCAGTGCTAGGGGCTAATAACAGGGTCTTATGCAAGGTAGGTAACGGTGCTTACACACGTCCAGTTCATTCTGTTTGTTTGAAACAGGATCTGTTCAAGTCACACAATCGTCCTGTCTTGACCTCTGGAGTAGCTGGTATATTACAGGCAATACGCCACCACATCCAGGAAGAAAAATCTTTTGAACAGTGCTGCAGCAACTGTTGTGACTATCCTGTTACTGGAGAAAAATATATGGTCAAACTCTGAAACCTGCAATCGACGGTGAACTGAATATAGATGCCAAAGCACACTCTTGAGCACACCTATCTTCATGCGGTTCCAGAGCCATGACCTGATCGATACCGGACAACTGGTTAGTAATGAACATTTTAGGGTCTATTCGTGATGCACACAACCTTCTGTTCCGCTGAGGAGAGCTTTCCACGAAGACAGCAGGAAGCTAGGGCATGACCTTGCTTTTAGAGAAAAGCTGCTACAGTAGCTCAGAGGGAGAGCACTTACCCAGCAAGCAAAAAGCCCTAGGTTCGCTCCCCAGCACGGCCCAAACCAGCCAAGTTTCCAAACCACGAACATCCTCCTAAACCACCAGTACAAACAGCTAAAAGAAACATAGCTCCCACCTGCCAAGATCTGACAAGTCAAGGTTTGGTGTCACTAACTAACAGTGGAGCCTCGGTTCTTCGTCAGCCCCTCCAACAATCACGACCGGGATGGGGCTCGACGGGGACGGCCGGGCCCGGCCTTCCAGCGGCGCCCACGGGTCGCTTCTGTGGAGGGAGGTCAGTGCCCATGCTCTCCCAACCGCGCCATGCCCCCCGGACTAGCCACCGTCCCCTCCCTAGTAAACCCGGAGAGAGCCTCCCTCTCACCTGCTCGGGGACACATAAATCCACTTTCGAATTTCTCCCGCGAACTCGCGCTACGTCATCAAGCAGGGACGGAACCGCCGAGGCCCCGCCGTTCGCAAACCACCAATAGAACGCCGGTCGCCGCCGCGCTCCCTTTTCCCCCCCTGATCCCGCCCCCGGGGGGCGTCGCCCACGACGTCGGCGACGAACGCCGGGCCTCAGACCCGGTTTTCCGCGGGGAGCCGAGAGGAGCGCGTCGCTCGTCGGATGACGCGAATTTACGCCGACTGCAAGGAGCGGGAGGCGGAAAGCGTGGAAGAACACAGAGTTGACCGTGGCTTTGGGGACGCGAACGGAGTAAGTCGCAAAGGGCCTGCAGGGCCGCCCAGACCCCGTGAGGTTGTAAACTCCCCTCAGGCCGGTCTCTCGAGGTCCATCCCACCATGCGTGGCCCGGCCCGGCCCGCCCCCCTCCCACTGGTCCGTTGGTGTGGCGACGCACATCTGTGCGCACGCGCAGTTCCCTGGCGGCCCTTGCAGTTCCGATTTTCGTGGGGAGGGGGCGTGCCGAGCTTGGTTTTGGGAGGTTTGGGGCACGCCCGGCTTCTCGGGGGGCGTCTGCCTGGAAAGGGACCGTGCACGTTGGGAGGTCGGCTTTGAGCTTCGGCTGCCCAGAGGCAGCAGTGTTTGCAGTCTAAGACTGAAGTCTTTTCTTTTGCAAGCCTTCCGCCGTTTCGGCCTCCTGTAGACAATGCCGCTGTGGAAGGGACTAACAATAAATGATGCAGTTAGGTTCTCCGAGTGCGTTTCTGGGAAACCGAGGGAACACACGCGTGGAACTTTCCTTGAGGATGGAAGTCCTGCAGAAATGAGACTGCCGGGAGTAGTGGGGCGGGGTGGGTGTTTGGTGCGAAATCGAATGGCTTTATAAAACTAGAAGATCATTCGCGGGAAAGATCCAAGCCGCTAAGTGTTTTGCCACCTTTGAAAATAGTCTTGCCATGACTACAACTTTGGTTCTCTTTGAGTGCCCTCTTTTTGTTCATAACCTGAAAAATGTTATGGTCGATTTCTTTGGAAATTCTACGTGCACCCATGCAAACACTTTGTGTATGATTTTACAAGCAAAAACTGATTTTGAAATTGAAAAAAAATTTTTTTAAGTTTATATCTAGTATAGTTCACTTTCCAGATTATGACAGTATTACAACCTTATAACTTGTTGAGAATCATAAAAATGAAAATCACGTTTGCCCAAGTAGGATGTATTTAGTTACTGCTTGACCAGTATCTGTTAATTCATTTCAACTTTCTATTGAATATCGATCTGGTCTTTGTTCCTTTGAATGGATTTGTAGCACTTAATTTTACCGTATTCGTATAAGCATGAAGTTGACTTATGGATTCCTAAAATTTCTTGAAACTCACCTGAAATGTCAAGGACTTCAGATTAAGAATTCCTGGGTCAGAGTATAGTATGAATGGTGACAAACTGTAGAAGCTTCTAAAAGGTGGGCAGTGTTTGCTTACCCAGCAGCTTTGACCAAATTGCAGAACCTTTCAGCCCCCTTTTTTAAAATTGAAAGAAAAGCCCCGGCCTGCTGGCGCAAGCCTGTAATCCCAGCACTGTGGGAGATAGAGACAGGTGGATCTCTGCAAGTTCAAGGTCAGCCTGGTCTACAAAGCAAGTCCAGGATACCCAAGGCTACACAGAAACCTTGTCTCAAAAAACCAAAACAAAAAAGCAAATAAGTTGAAAGAAACTACTTAGTAGGATTGTCAAGATTTAGGACAATGTATATTAAGTAAATGACATTTTTTACACAGTAATTTTTATTCTCTATTCAAAGACCATGTGTTTTTTGATGGGGCCTGGGGGGAGTTGCAGGCTGTCCTGGAACTCTCTGTGTAAAGCAAGCTGGCCTCCAACTCAAGAGATCCACCTGCCTCTGCCTCCTGAGTGCTAGGATTAAAGGTGTGTGTCACCACACCAATTTCACAGTATATTTCTGATACCACAGAAAAATTAATAAGGAATGACTAATGTTGCAAGTTGAGAAATAAACTTCACAAGCTATATCAGTGTTATGGACAGGGGACACTGTAAAAATAACCTCTGTAAACCTCTAGAGCATGTTGTAAACTCCTCATATTCTAATGGCAGCCGTGCAGAACAGTAAATTGCAGTGAGAGCCATTTCAGAGATCAAATTGGTAGGATTTAAAGCTCCAGAGCAGCTTTTTTTTTTTTTCCTTTGAGTCTTTTTTTTTTTTTAAAAAAACTTATGTATATATTTGCATGAATGTGTATATGTGTACCACAGGCCCACAGAGGTTAGAGGAATTCTTTGGATCCTCTGGAGCTAGAGTTTAAGAAGGTTGTGGGCTTTGATGTCATACTAGAAACTGAACTTGTGTCTTCTGCAAGCGCAATGAGTATTCTCTCTCTCTCTTTTTAATAGATTTATTTGTTTGTTTATTTACTTATTTGTTTATGTATGTATACCTGCATGCCAAAGGGGTCATCAGATCACATTAGAGATGGTTGTCATCCACCATGTGGTTGCTGGGACTTGAACTCAGGACCTCTGGAAGAGCAACCATTGCTCTTAACTGCTGAGCCATGCTCTGCAGACCTTTCTATAGCAGCATTTTTAAGTGCTTCAATGACATTTTCAATAATCTTCATAGTAACTCTCTTAAGAAGATAATACTGTGTCCACATTTTATGGACCACAGAGATGACAAACTTTCAAACACATTATGGAGGTGGCTTGGTCAGCTTGGTGGATAATAGTGTTAGCATTAGCATAAATAGGCTTTGATAGGAAAGAATAAATTTCCTTTAGGATGTGTGGGATGACAGTATACCACATTACCTTTGGAACGTACAAACAGCATTAGGAGTGTAGTAAGGACTAAGAAATGGTTCAGTGGTAGGATATTTGCCTGTGATGTGGGGTCCCATGGGTCTTATCCCTGTTTCCAGCATTAGGGAGAAAGACAGAAGTGGGTGAAGATTAGGGGCCTCTGTAACCTAGGTAACTAACTAGTTTTCTTCAGGCCTGGAGTAGGGAGGCTAAATTGTTCTATAGTTTGTGTGACTTTCTGTTCAGTCTGTAACTTGTTCTAAAGTGAAGGTGTATTTGATGTCCTGAACTGGACTAAGTAACCGTCAGGGACACAGCCAGGAAGGCCTGGGGGCTAACGCAGTGGGGGGATGATGTGACAGCCTGTTTCTGCAGTTCTGTCTGCTCCGCTTTAGATCTAACAGATGTGGTATAGCTGTACATTCCGCTGTGCCTTAGAGCCGTGGTTCTCAACCTTCCTAACACTGCAGCCCTTTAACAGATCCTCATGTAGTGGTGACCCCAACCATGAAATTATTTTGCTACCTCATAACTGTCATTTTGCTACTGTTAGGAATTGTAATGGAAATATCTATGTGTGAATCCCAAAGATGTCATGGCCCACAGGTTGAGAACCACTGCTGTACACGGTAGGTTTTGACAGTGAAAAGGACTGCCCTTTATAACTAACCATTATCATGGAGCCTGCTCTGTGATCATTGTAGTCTGTATTCATTGTTTTGTACCTTACCACCTTAAAAAATGATTTGAAATGCTTTATACCTTATTATATAGACCAAGCTGGCTTCAGACTCACAGAGGTCCATGTGCCAGGGCCTCATGAGTGCTGGGATTTAGGTGTGTACCACCATGCCCAGCTATAGGTACTTTTAAATATATGTAACAACTTCACAAAAATGTAGTGATCAAATTAAAACCTCTGCCTCTATGTTTAGATTATGGTGGGGTAGATAGGTAACGAAACCCCAAGTCCAGATAGTGGTAAGCATAGAAAGAAAGCTTGGTGTGTGGTTCAGATTGGCGATTATTTTACGTTGGAAAGAAAAAGCCTCTGAGACAGTGATATTCACAGATCTGGGTGAATAACTAAGCTATATAGGGGTGTTGGGGAAACAAACAGCAGAAAGAACAAAGGTTTAGAGACAGAAATGGCTTCAACAAATTCAAGGAGCTTAGGGTTGATATAAGTCTGGTGGAAAGAATTGTAGAAAATAAAGTTGGAGAAACGAGTCCAGGTCAGATCATAATAGGACCTCATAAACCACTGTAAGGTCTGTGGACTTTTATACAAAGAGTTGTCCTGATTTACACAGTTAAGTGATTGTGCTATATTGGAAATTGATCATAAGAAAACAGTGTTAGAAGCAAGCAGACTATTAAGGAAGATCTTGGATTAGTTCATGTGAGACATGATAATAACTTGGACCAAATGGTTTATTAGAAATAAGAAGTTTTAATGTTTAGGATGTACTTTAAAACCAGTGCTAGTACAACTGCTAATAAACTGAATATGAGGAAAGAGGAAATGAGAGTTCTTTCTAGTTTTACTCTCTGTTTTATAGTTGGTATTTCTCAAAGGGGTAAAAAATTTTAAATGTTAGAATTCTGGTTTTATTAAGTTTGAGATATCCTCTAAATAACAAATGTACAGTCAAGTGTACAATTGACTGTTGTAATGGGAGAATGGTTTGTAAGGTATAGAGCCCAATGCTGAATAGCCAGGACCTCAGAATGGATAGAAAGATGAGAGGCCAAGATAGGAGTCTAGTTAGTCATAGACACAGAAGGATCTAGAAAAGGAAAACTCTTAAGAGCTATATGAAGAACATATTGCAAGGGAGGAATTCCTGACTCGGAGGTCATGTAAGCATTGAGGCCAAGCAGTCAGTGAGCTCATTGGAGTTCCCTTAGTATGATAGGAGTGAGAGCCTGACAGGAGGTTGAAACTGAAGATCTGAGATGAGGCCTCCCATTATACAAATTCACCTTTTTTAACCAAACATTTATTCGGATAGCTATATGTAGCTATCTGTAGCTATATGTAGCTATCTGCATTTTGTGTCTCAAGTAGGTGTCTTATTACTTATATGAAGTTAAGAGCACTACTTGCTCTTCCAGAGGTCCTGAGTTCAATTTCCAGCAACCACATGGTGGCTCACAACCATCTGAGACCTGGTGCCCTCTCCTGGCATTCAGGTGTACCTGCAAGCAGAATATTTTACATACATATTATCTTCAAAAAAGGGGGAAAAAAAAAAAAACTTGCACTTGACTGAAAACATCCTGTGGAAATGCATGCTTTGCTTTTGAGTGAGGTGCATCACTCTGTTTCTGTGGCTAGCAACAGTACCAGTCGGACAGCAGGAAGGCTTGTGTCCCGGGAGGAAAGGTACAAATACAAAACTCATCTGGAGCTTACTTAGCATTTTTACATCAGGTTTTGTTTTTGCCATATCCAGAAAAACTTGTGGACAATCAATGTTTACATAATTTAACATTTCTATATTTACAGAATGGAAACTGAAAACAAAAAAACTATGGAAGAAAGCACTGAGAAGAGAAAAGAAGAAAAAAAGAAGCGGTCGCGGGTTAAACAAGTGCTTGCAGATATTGCTAAGCAAGTGGACTTCTGGTTTGGAGATGCAAACCTTCACAAGGACAGGTTTCTCCGAGAGCAAATCGAAAAATCTAGAGATGGATGTAAGTTATCTTTATCTTAACTGCCAGGGGGGGGGGGGAGAGGAGAGGAGCAGCTGACAGTTCACAATGTCTTATGCTATGATCTAGATGTGGACATCTCTCTTCTGGTGTCCTTTAACAAAATGAAGAAGCTGACCACTGATGGGAAGCTAATAGCCAGAGCATTGAAAAGCTCGTCTGTTGTAGAGGTAGGTATAAAATTTTCATAATTATCTTTACCATTTTATTAATGTATTTGCACGTTATATTTGTACAATTATTAAACAATTTATGAACCTTACTTTTTAAAGTTGGACTTAGAAGGGACCAGAATTAGGAGGAAAAAACCCCTAGGTGACAGGCCAAAGGATGAAGAAGAACGCACAGTGTATGTGGTAAGAAAAGACACCAAATTCTAATTATAATTTATTGTTTATAAATTTATGTATCATATAAAGTATCATACCACCTGTGATTTATTATAGGAGTTACTCCCCAAAAACGTCACTCATAGCTGGATTGAGAGAGTATTTGGGAAGTGTGGCAATGTTGTTTACATAAGTATTCCACATTACAAATCTACTGGGGATCCTAAGGGATTTGCCTTTGTGGAGTTTGAAACAAAAGAGCAAGCAGCAAAAGCCATTGAGGTACGTGCATCTGAGGGACCCTGTAAGTGAAAAGAAACACGTGATATTAGCAATAAATTAATATTCTGCAATTGTTTCAGTTTCTTAACAACCCGCCTGAAGAGGCCCCAAGAAAGCCCGGCATATTCCCCAAGACTGTGAAAAACAAGCCCATTCCTTCCTTACGCGTAGCTGGTGAGTGCCTACTTACACGGGAAATGTTCAAAACTGGAGCTTACAGAGAATAAAAACTATGTGAACATTGTTGTTACAGAAGAGAAGAAAAAAAAGAAAAAGAAAAAAGGCAGAATAAAGAAGGAAGACAGTGTACAGGCGAAAGAGTTAACTGTGGATACAAGCAGCATGGCTGTGTGTAAAGCTAAGAGACCTAGGACTGCCTCCGAGGGTTCCGAGGCAGAAACCCCTGAACCTCCAAAGCCACCTGCAAAGAAAAAGAAAAAACGGGACAAGGCCGAAACATCCATCTTACCTGAAGGCAGAGTAGGAAAGAGGGAGAGGAGCAGCGCTGAGGACGAAGACTGCCTAGCCCCCAAGCCAAAAGTGAGGAAGAGAGCTCAGAAGGATGTCGCTGGTGAAGCAGCTTCTGAGGTCTCCAAGGAAAGCAGAGGTACTGTCAATAGGATTAGAAGTGCAAATAGTTTACCTGCTTCACAACCAGTCTTAAGGGATTATCTTTTTTTTAGACTTAGAATTCTGCTCTACTGAGGAGGAGAAGGAGACTGGAGAGAGAAAAGATGATTCGCTCTCAAAAGTGAAAAGGAAGCATAAGAAGAAGCATAAGGAGAGACACAAAATGGGCGAAGAAGTTATACCGTTGAGAGTGCTGTCCAAGTAAGTGCCCGTTCTCCGTGGCCACCGACACCAGGCCATCACCATTGCTAAAGTGCAATTCCAATTTCTGTACAACAGAGTTGCATATTAGCAACAGTGGCGGCCGATGTCCATAGGCAGTACAATGAGGGTTTTGTAGGAGCCACCACACTCAAACATGGAAGCACTTATTTTTTAAAGGCACAGCAAGCGCCTCCATGTTAAAGTAAAGGAGGCCCCTTAAGCAGACGTCAGTGGCATTCTTAAGTCCCGAGAATGTAAAAGGAAAACTTACCATCACCAAAACATGGAAGCACTTACTTCCTTAGTTCCAAAGCAAGTACGTCCACGTTTAAGTGATGGGGAGCCCAGTCACTAAGAAGACGCTGACGGGTTCGGAAGGCACCTCCACTGAAACATGGAAGCACTTACTACTGTGTAACCCAGCAAGTACCCCATGTTAAAGCAGAGGGGACTCCCAGTCACAAGTTGGCGTGTTCTACTGCGGAGTGCATTGAATTCACTTCTACTAAAACATGAAAGCACTTACTCTTTTTTAAATGAGACAGAAAGCACTCCCATGTTAAAGTTGAAGGGAACCCACCCGAGGCAACTTTTCAAAATGTATAAACAATCCCACGGGGAAAATAAAACGACGGATTACGGAAATACAGTTTACCTTGCTCAGAAGAAATCTTGCTCTCAGCTGGGAGGGTGAAAGACACTGACTTTCAGACCCTTCTATTTATACGACTCTAACTGCTGAATTCCTTTTGGCTTTCTATCTCAGAGAATCATTACAAGACCCTTTGTTATTTTAATGTATCGGCTCTCAGGGAAAGTAGATCCTGAGCATCCTGGGTAGCTCTGGATTTTTTTTTTTTTTTCCTTTTTTGAAGTAAACAGATGTCAATGTTAACTGCTAAAACCATTACCACAAGATACCCTCCTGAAAAAAATCTCCTATCTCCCTGTTTGATGGCACAGATTAGGGTAACAATGGGTGCTCCCACTGAGCCAGGAGGTGCGTTGTGCCTCTCTCTGGAGGAGCCCTAACTGTTTGAAGAGACATCTACATGTTAAATGTATGTAAATAAATAAATTGCTTCCATGGGGTGTTTTTTTCTTCTTAGAAATTCCTTTTGATTCAAGTAAATCCTAAGGAATGTTATCTCTCAAATTGGAAGCAATTTGACAAATCTTTGAATTTTAGTCTCTCACTTTTCCCCAAAGTTGCCTAATTTAGTGAGTGTTACTTAAGGAAAGTAACTCAAAAATTTTATTTTACAACTAAAACTATTAGAAACAGCTGGGAAATTCAAGCATTTTACCTGAATGTTAAGGAAAAGAAACTTGCTTTGTGGGTTTGCAAGATAGATGTATTACTTAAAAAGTAAATTGAGTGTGTGCTTAAAAAAAAAAGGAAAGTTTGGGGGGAGTTACTACATATTTAGATCAACTTCAAGTTTTTAATTAAATCATTACTATTTCACTATTTCAATATCTATCACTATTTCAGTAGTTCAATTTATTTTGTTTTGCAGAACTGAATGGATGGATTTGAAAAAAGAGTATTTGGCACTGCAAAAAGCTAGCATGGCTTCTCTAAAAAAAACAATATCTCAAATAAAATTGGAGTCAGCAATGGAAACAGACTGTAGTGCGCCTAATAAGTCTGGAGTGGAGAATGGAAAAGGTGACGCTCACTGGAATGGCGTTTGTTGTTACAGTACACTGAAGATGCTGCGTTTACTCTACAAATATTTTCAGGGGTGGCTTTACTGCAGTGATAGAGTGGTTTCCCCAGCTATAAGTTGAACCACTACCAGAAAAAAAAAACAACTTTAAATTGGAAGTGTTCATAATAAAGAGTGGGCTGTTTCCAGCCTGCCTCTTCCCTCCATTCCCAGGGAACTTACTCAGGAGGGCCTGGAGGTGGGAGTAACCGTGGTCTTACAGGATGATGTGCACAGAGCAGGAACATAGAAAAGCACTATTTTTATGGATTGTAGTATTAATAAAGGTTTGAAGTTCTTACAAATTATACAGATTCTCACATTTGAATAGTATGTTTTTAATACCCTTATGTTTATATTGGCATATATCTTTGTTGAAGTTTTGTTCACAGATACTATGCATTTTATTTCCATGTTGATTCCAGATGAGTAATGTTATGCCTTAATATTAATTTAGAATTACAGAAGTTCTAAGTTATTTAATTGAGCCTGAGCTCACTACTGCTGTTGCAGAGTAGTGCTCCTTGTGGAAAATGTCAGGTGTGGGACAGTTATCTCTGGCCCTTTCCTCTTCACCTCAGCAGGCAGCCATCCAGAGTGCTCCGCCCAGGAGAAGATGACTGCACAAGGGCCACAGTTCGTGACTGGAGTGATTGTGAAGATCGTCAGCACAGAGCCTCTACCTGGCAGGAAACAAGTCAGGGTAATAGTTGTTAGCCCTGTGTGAAATGTCTTAAAATAATATGGAAAATGAAACAAACCCAGTTAGAATTTGGACCTCTTGGATAAAGTGCTTGTAGAGTCTGAGTCTGTGGTAACTCTTGGATTTAATCTAAATACCAAAGTCCTCAGAAAATAAGACTTAACCTCTAACAGCCTGAACACCTTTGTTTTCTGTGTCACTAGTAGTTGATGGCTGTGTAGTTCAATGGAGAGCTATATAGTGATCCTAACTAGCAGTTGTTTAAATAATATGTTATGTATTTAGTATTATGCTTTGAAAGAGTTTTTACCATTTTAAGAGGTTTAAAAAGATATATGGTGCCTTTGTTGTTTGTTTGTGTGATTATTTTTTGAAGCGGGGTTTCTCTGTGTAATACCAGTGGCAGGCCTGGAGTTCCCACTATAGACCAGGCTGGCCTTGATCTCACAGAAATCCACCTGCTTCTGCCTCCCAAGTGCTGGCATTAAAGGCATGTGCCACCTTTACTTTTTAAAGATCTGTTTAACAATAGACATGTTCAGAGGTTACTTTTTAAAGTTGTAATGACCTGCTACTGTCTTGTCTTGAAGCCAGCTGCTGAATTTATAGATTTATATATTCGTCAGGACTGAGGTTCCCTGATGACCATTCCTTTTGTTGTTTTTCTGAGACATTGTGTTTTGTTTTGTAGAATGGCCTGTCTTAACTCATTTGGCCTAGGCTGGCACTCCTCCTGTTTCAGCATCCCAACATTCTCCAATAACATTATTTTATACTGTATAAAAGTGTTCTATTAATTTTCTAATTACTTTTAACATCTTACAGCATTTACTACTATGTATTATGTTGTTTTAGTTTTTTATAGAACTGCAGCACAATTCTAATCACCCTTTTTAACTGCAAAAACGAGGTGATTTTTTTTTTCACTGTTGTGTGATGTGTATTCTATTTTAAATCCTGTAACTGTAATAAGACATAAATTTTCTTTTTGATATTGATAAAGTGTTTGCCAATTCCAAATTCATTTAGCTTATGTCTGAAAATATGTTAACAATACTGAATTTAGATTAAAAAGCTAAACAGATGTCAGTAAGCACTTGCTTTGCAAGAGGGAGACCTGCCTTCAGTCCCAAGCGCACACAGAATGTGTTTGTGCAGCAGCTGAGAGTTCCGTAGTAATCACTTAGTCTTTCTGAAACAAAAACTGAACTCTGTTGCTTGTTACTGATTAACGAGCTGATTTGTCATTAGTGGGTTTTCAGTTAGGAGATCAGCCTGACTTTGTAATGGATGTGTAGTAAATATCTTTTGAACTGGAATACTCTAAGCTATCTGAAAATCAGTTATAAAAGTCTTACCATTACCAGGGTACACATTACAGTTTCATCAACTCACTACAGACCGATCTCTTGCTATGTATTTTAATGAGTACGATTAACTGGATAAAAACATCCCAGGTATAAGTCTCTCTTTTTTTTTCCTTGATTAAGCAAACATTTTTTAGTAAGGATGTTCTGATATTTCTGTGTATTAGGTGTTGAGTGAATTGAGACTTGTTCCTTTCTTCTAAAGACTCGCAAATCTTTATTCATTTTTATGCTACAATTAAATATTTCCAAAATCTTCTCTAAACTGCAGAGTTTATTTCTTTAATGTTAATGAATGAAATTTGACAATTAAAATTACTGTGACATTCCTGCATAAATGCATTGTGTTCTGTGGGAAACCTGCTGTGAGGTCTAATTAAGGAAATGCCTGCATTCTTAATCAATTTTTTTCCCTCACAGCAGGTGTTATAGGTAAAACTGTTCCCTCTCTGGGTGACCTCAGCTTGCTTAGAAAAGGTTACTTAGGTATTTTATCTAAAACTGAGAGCTGTCAGGCTGTGTTTCAGTAAATCTACTCAAGACTCCTAGGATTTCTGTTGGCTATTGTAAAATGTTGAAAGATGGTTCCGTGTATTCTAAGTCACACTTGTGTAGGTGAGTGAAAATAAACTTCTCCAATCCTGTCTTTTCTTTTAATCTTCCTTAAACTAACCTGCTTCCAGATTGCTGGGGGAGGGGTCATTTATATTCCATGCTACAAATCTTGTCCTTACCTGAGCCCCACTGTCAGCTCTTATTTTACAGATAGACTTTTAATATCATGTAAGATAAAAGTTTGTTGTTAAATTGCTTCTCATTTTTGTTTAAGTATTTCAAGAGTCTTTCTGTATGTTTTAGAAGTATTTTATATATTTACATGACAATTTCTGTGTCTACATTCATTTATTGTCAAACATCGTAAGTGTTGATTTTAAGTTCTCATACTTCTTACCCGTGTAGGATATTCTGGCCACCATCTCAGAAGTTGTTTATGTTGACTTGCTGGAAGGAGATACTGAATGCCATGCCCGGTTCAAAACTCCCGAGGATGCTCAGGCAGTAATGAACGCACAGGCTGAAATTAGAAAGAAGCACAGTTGGAGCCTGGAGGTCCTTTCTGGTAAAACCTGATTGTGTTTATTTAGTAAACAGTTATCATTATAGGTAACTGTTTCACTTGCTCTTCATTGAGCGAGTGGACCTAACATTCTTCCCCCAAACATTCTCCTGCTGCTGAGATTGGGATTTGTATCTTTATACTCAGTGATCCGTGCTTTTCCTTGTTCAGGTGATCATGAGCAGAGGTACTGGCAGAAGATTTTGGTTGATAGACAGGCCAAACTTAATCAACCTCGGGAAAAGAAGAGAGGCACGGAGAAGGTGAGACAATGCTTGTTCTGACAGTGGTAGGCGAGGATGAGTTCACTTTGAGTTTCCCAGCTGAGAATACAGATTTCTCCTGCTTTAGGAATACATGACGCGAAGGTCCTTTGCCCACAAGGACCCATAATTGTAATGGCCTTTTAAATATACACAGTCTTGATTTGGGGTCACAGGGTTTTGTAGTTTTGGATAAGTACCTGTAGAAAGATTGTCTTCTGCAGAGAAGATAGACAGATTAAGGTTTCTGGGCTGTGAGAAGTGTTGTTATTTTTCTGATAATCAGTCAGTGGCATGAGCAAACTGAAATAATTAAAAGAAACCGAGTCATTCAACAATTTTATTCTGTGGTAATTAGCCTAATGTATGATTCACTGAGGATATGTTTATTCTTTGAACCAGATTATTATGTTTAACTTCTTAAGAACTTTGAAGGCAGCCAGGCAAGGTGGCACACACCTGTAATCCCAGCACTCTGGGGGGGACAAAGGCAGGCATATCTCTTGAGTTCAAGGCCGGCCCTGGTGCAAATGTCCCTGTCAGTCATAAATGCCAAAGAAACACAAATGAAAAACTCACCAAGGCAAAATTCATAGGACATTTGCATCCATTGTTCTTTGAGGAGTTTTTTGTTTTTGTTTTTTTCTGATTTTGCTGAGATGGGGAAGCCTCTTTCATCCTTGGCACTTTTTCATCTTGGAGGTGTAAATTTCAAAACTGGTTTGAGATGTTCAGATGTTCACATCAGTAATTCAGAACTGGTAACTGAACTGTAATTGGTTCAGTAATACTTATTTTTGTAATTGCTGTGACATTTCCTTTGAATTGTCTATTCTGTTTTTAACTAGTAATAAAATATTTTTGATTTTAGAAAATTATCAGTATTCATCTTAGTATCAGGCAAAGAAACATGGACATATTTTATAAAATTATACTAGAACAACAACTTGTTCTGACTTGCTTCATTATCAGGGTTGCTAGCATGATCTAGGTAGTAAAGCTCGCTCACTTAACAGACTGAAATACAGGGGAGCCACCTACCACACAAAGCACATGGTGTTGGAGGCTTGCTAGGAGAAAAGGAACCAAAACCTTTTGCTGATCTAACTTGTTTCCTGCTGCTGGAGATTAAGCTCAGCTCCTTAAGGGTGTTAAGTGAGTGCTGCTTCTGCCACTGGCCTCCTTCAGAGCTAAAGCCCTCTGACTGTCAGGCCCATCCTCCACACAGAGTGATAGGCATGGATAACAAGTCTCCTGTTCTCCCTTTGCTTGCCCATGGACAATGCCAGTATGGCACAGAACATTAAAGCTGGCCGCTTCTACCTCCGCCCAAGAGTTCAGAAGTGCAGCATTCTGGGCTGCAGTGATGGGAATTAAGTGCATGGGGAACAATGGCCGAATTTCAGTGATTCTGACCTGAATTCCTTCCTGATATGACAGATACCTTGTGGTTTCCCCACTAGACACTAATCCATCTTGAGTGAGGAAGAGTGCTTGTATTCTTAGTCTTTAGTTCTTAGTTCTTACTTTTCATGCTATGAAGCAGGACCCATTGTGGGAGCCTCAACCCCGTTGAGTCTGTAGAAAGAGGAGTCAGTAAATGTTTAGTTCTGCATAGGTGTTTACAGATGAAAACGAGGCACATGTAAATGAGTTCTCAGAGGATTAGGAACGGAAGGAAGGATCTGCCAAAGGAGAAAGGCTTGTTTTTTCTTGGTGGGATGCGCTTTAATTCTAAGCCCTTGTAAGTCAGGACTCGACACTGTGGTCTTGCTGCCCTTGCTGCTCTTTCTCTCCCAGCCCGGAGGTAAAGCTTTTTTAATTCACTTTAGTTTTTGAATGTTCTTTAATTTTTTTAATTGTATGTAAATTTTACGTGGGTGTGCGGGTACCTCAGCATGCATGTGAAAGCTAAAGGGCAGCTTGCTGGACTCGCCCTTCCTCTATCATATGAGTCCTAAGCATAAAACTCCTGTTGTCAGGCTTTGAAGCAACTACCCTTATCCCACAGTTTTTAGATATTTGTCTTCTTTTTAATCAAAATGGCCTTTTCTACTGGCATATCTGCTGTATGTTACCCAGCTGAAGTTAGAATTTGTGTTTGGGAATAGCATCATTCATGTGCTAGGCTAGCTAGAATTTTTCACTTCTGCCACTTGTAAACAGTGTCTTAATTGAATCATGTCATAGCCTCTTGTCAGTCCGGTACATTAGATTTTATTCATGGATTGAATGATTGAGACAAGGTCTGTGGTATCTCATGCTGACCTCAGGCTCACTGTGTAGCTGAGAACGACCTTGCTGCTCTGATTACCCTGCTCTCACCTGCACTTACCTGGTGTTCAGCGGTCAAACCTAGGACGTTGTATATTCTAGACAAGAACTACCGACTCAGCTACTTCCACGTCCTGGGCCTCATATTTTTAAGACCTATAAGAGTCTTTCTGTTAAGGAAACTTGTAGCTGTCTGGTGCAGTAGTTTGCTCTCAGGGCACAGAAGAGTGATCTTCAAACCAGCTTTGGTTACACAGAGACCCACTGCAGAAAAGAGCAACAACTGCTTTGGGAATGCTGCAATCTGTTGCCCTATGTTTCAAGAACAAAATTATTTTCTCCTTTAATAAAGACAGATCTTAATAGTAAGGGGGTTTTGCTTTATTTGTAAAGCAAATTTTAAGCTTTTAGAAGGTGTAATTGGCACAAAAGAATTGTAACATGAGCCAAGCATGGTGCTGCGCACCTTGAATTGTGAAAACTTCATGTTTCTTCCCAAGTGTCTTAGATAACAAAGGTGCTATTAAGAAAACAAGGGAGGCAGAGGCTGACGGACTGCTGTGAGTTTGTGGTTCCAGGACAGCCAATGCTACACAGGGAGACCCTGACTCAACAAAAGAGTTATGTCATATGTGGGGTAGAGTGAAGGAAGATAGCCCGGTGTGGTGGTACACACCTTAAATGCCAAAACTCAGGGCACCCTGGTCTATAGAGTAGGATCCAGGCCAGCCAGGACTACAAAATAAGATTTTTGCTCAAAGATAGATGGATAGATTGATTGATTGATAGATAGATAGATAGATAGATAGATACATAGATAGATACATAGATAGATACATAGATTGATTGATTAGCTGGACATGCTGGCACATGCCTTTTATCCTAGTACCTTGAGACAGAGGCATGTGGATCTCTGATGTCCAGGCCAACCTGGTTTACAGAGCAAGTTCCCGAACAGCCAGGGATACACAGAGAAACCCTGTCACAACAACAACAAAATGAGTGAATAAATAAATGTATGGAATTGCCTTGCACTATAGTCCTATCACTCTGCTTGAAATTATCTTTCCAGTAAACAGGTTTTCTTTGTTTTCTTGGTTTGTTTATCTGAGAACAGGGTCACACCCTATAGGTTAGTCTGGCCTTGACCTCTCAGATTCCTCTGTCTCTGGTAACATTTACCTGTAAATGGGTTGTAAAGGAAACTTGAGTAGTACACAGCCCAGAAACATCACATCTCATTCAAATAATATGTAAATCTTTAATCACAATGTAATGAAGGGTCCCATACCATTAAGTCTTAGTAATTAATATCCAAGTCCAGAGGTTGTACAAAATAATGCTGAGTTGTGACTCTTCGTAAGAAAGGTTAAATGACAATGAGGAGTGAGTGACATATCAGCTGAAAGATTGTGAGTAATGAAACATAACTGGAGGAAGATAGAAGTTTCAAAGATGTAAGGTCTATTTCATAAAATTCTTCCAGTTCTCTGTAAATTGATTTAATCAAAACAGTGATCTCATGTCTTTCTACCTCCAGCTTTTAAAAATCCTATTCAGCCTGATTGTTGTAAAACTTTCATAGTGGTGATTGTTTTTTTTCATTTTGGAGTTTTCAAGGCATAATTTCTCACTTCTTTCTCTGTAGTTAATCAGCAAAGCTGAGAAGATTAGATTGGCCAAGACTCAACAAGCCAGTCAGCACATTCGATTCTCTGAGTATGATTGAGAAGGACGGCAGCTTGGCCTTCGCTTGCTGGAGTGTTCTTAGAATGCTAGGACTGCTTGATGGATGTTCTGCTGGGATCTGCATTAAAAAAAAGAAAGAAAGAAAAGGGAAAAAAACCCTTTGTTCCTCAATGTGTAAATAAGACTTTTCTAATAACAAATGCATTGTATGTCACAATTTTTTTCAATGAATGCCCTTACCCTTCATATTGAAATTATGCAAGTCAGCTTCAAATGATTTCATAAATAAATGTGTTTTGAACATTATTGTTTTGTTTTATTTACAAAATAAATATATAATTGCAGAAATAAAAATACATATTAGATGCAAACTAAAATAACTTTTCCGTTGTACCTTTTTTCTGCTAGCAGATATAGATATTTTGTTTCTTTTTTTTCTCATTTCCTCTTCCTTTGAACAACAAACTATCATGCTTCTTATTAAGATGTTGAATTTTAAGAGCATTGAGTTTGTTTTCCCTAAATAGACATTTTATTTTAGACTATGTGCCAGGTGCTATGACCTTGGAGTCTGGAAGTCGACCTTAGGGAGAACTAAAGTTTGTATTTTTCCAGAAGTATATTCACAGCACCTATGCAGGACTGGGATCCTAGACTCCATCAGAAGCTCCTTAAAGTAGAATGTCTGTTTCAGCATATTTCTGCTTCCCCTGTCGTTGACCCAGGGTGAGGCCTGTGCTCAGGCATCTTCACTCTGACTCACTGGCTGGGAAACAACAGCTGATCACTGCCAAACATAAGTACCCTGGCAAGTTGCCTATCCCTTCTTTTTCCTTCACAGGGTTATATGTATGCATGCATGTGCTCACGGCAACAGAATACCTAGAAACAACTGTTACATCCCCTTAGGCTTATAACTGAAGGACCTCCAGTATATAAAGACTTCAAAATTCAGGGCTGGTTGAGGTAGAAGCAGAAGCCTGTGGAGCTTTGTAGGTTCAAAGCCAGCCTAATCTAGAGTCCCAGGACAGCCAGGGTTACATTGACTGTTGAACATTTACTATGGAGAAAGTTTTTAAAGTGAAAGCTTGTTAGACATGTCTTTCTGCGGATCTGGCAAGATGGTTCAGTGGGCAAAAAACAACTTGCTGCCAAGCTTGAGCTGAGTTTAGTCCCTGGAACCCACATGATAGTCCATTTGTATATGGACTTTACTTCCCCCATCACACACAAACACAAAACATACTAAAAGAAAAGGCACCAGTCATTCATATGGTACACATACATGCATGGAAAACATAAAAGTTAAAATAATTATTTTATGTATATGAGTGTTCTATCTGCATTTACATCTGCCAGAAGAGGGAATCAATTCACATTATAGATGGTTGTGAGCCACCATGTGGTCGCCAGGAATTGAACTCATGACCTTTGGAAGAACAGACAGTGCTCTTAAACCACTGAGCCTTCTCTCCAGCCCCCAAAAATTGAAAATTTTGAATGTGAATTTGGGGGCTGGAGAAATGGCTCGGAGATTAAGAGCACTGGTTGCTCTTCCGAAAGTCCTGAGTTCAATCCCAGCAACTATATGGTGGCTCACCACCATCTATAGTGAGATCTGTTACCTTGTGGCATGCAGATGTATAGGCAGGCAGAACACCGCATATGTAATAAATCTTTAAAAAAATAAAATAAATTTGTAATTACTCGGCTTTGTTGTTTATTAGGATAGCTAATCAGCACTAGAAATGTAGCCAATCCAAATGAATTAAAGTATTATGAATATAGACTTATGTCTTGAATTTTTTTTTTCTTAGGATGTCATGTTAAGAGAGCTGGTCTTACCTTTAATCCCCGCACTCAGCACAGGTGCATCTTTGAGTTGGAGATATGGTCGTTCTACAGAGTGTTTATATATACAGCCAGGGTTATATGGTGAAACCCTGCCTAAAAACAAACAAACAAAAAACATAGTTTTTTTTATTTGAATAATCACTTGCACTTGTCCAGTGGACCAAATGGATTGGAGAGGGGTTTAATTTAATGATATTTTATTTTTCATTATATGTGCACATTTCTTTTGTTTTTGTTTTTTTGTCTTTCCGTGGACCCCTGGCTGACCTTGAAATTGCAGTCATCTGTCTGCCCTTGCCTCTGCCTCGCAAGTGCTAGAATTGCAGATATTTGCTACAATACGCCCTGCTTTACATTAGGTTTTGATTGGACAACGTTGATTTAGGGGAACTTATACAGCTGAAATTGATGTCAATATTGACTTTGCCTGATTATACTGACAGTTACTGAATCAAATGAGAGTATCCCAAACTGTTTCAAAAGACTTAGTTGATGTGGAGATGCAAGGAACGATTTTGTGCCTAGACTCCGTTGATAACCTTTTCTTTCCTTCTTCCTTTCCTCCCTTTTTTTTCTTGTTTTAGCATGTATGTCTGAATGTACGCACATGAGCATATGAAGATCAGAGGACAACTTTTCTGCATCTGTTCTCTCCACCATGGTTTTAGGGAGCACTCAGATTGTCACACTTGGACAGCAAGCACTCCTACCTGCTGAGCCATCTCTCCAGCCCTTAGTGTTTTGACATTATCTTTTGATCTGCAGTTGATTTGGGAATGTATGTGCATACACCTCTCTCACTACATAAAAGTCATTATGATATAGGGCTGAGGTTGTAGCTCTGTCATAGAGTACTTGCTTGATGTGCACCAGGCTGACCTTTGATTTGGGGGGATTCATTGTGTAGAATTATTTTAAAATAAGCATGGCAGCTCTGCAGAGATCTCCTCCAGTGGGTGAGCTCTCCTACTGCTCTTCCAGAAGACCTGAGTTTGGTTCCCAGAACCCACATTCGGCAGTTCACAACTTTTATTCCAGCATTAAGACCTGATGTCCTTTGCTTCCAAGGGCACCTGAACTCTCATGATAATTAGATTAACTATTTCTTGAATAATTCTAATTTATTTAATAATTTAAATAAGTATATCTCAAATAAACATTGATTTATATTCCAATCTAATCCTTATTTTAATATAAAGAAGATATGTAATAAAATTGAATGAGGATTTCAAAGTTAATCTTGGTAGCTGATGGGCCAGCTAAAGAAGTCAGGATGTAGTAATTTAGTGAGATTTTAAATGTAATAGGAATGACTGGCCAAATAATTTGCATTTTATAGAGCTTCACCTAAAGTATTAGAAAATCTTGTCTTTCTGCTCCATTCAAATCTGATTACAAAATAAAATAGACAAGGACTATAGCTTAAGCCAGTTGTAAAACTGCAGATCTGTGGTCTTTCCAGCACTGGAGAGACAAAGGCAGGAAAATTAGTAGTTCAAGACCAGCCCTGGATACATAGCAGATTGAGACCATCATAGACTATACAAAATTCTATCCCAAAAAGAGAACAAAAACAATAAAAACAAAACCAAATCAGAAGAAGAGGAAAAGGAGCTTATATAAGTTTATATATATATTTGTTTGTTTGTTTGTTTTGTTTTTTTGTTTTTCCTAACCAGACATGGCAGTATATGCCTTTCATCCTAGCATTCTGGAGGCAGAGGCAGGCCATTTCTGGGTGTTGAAGACTAGCTTGGTTTATACAGTAAGTTCCAGGCCAGGGTTTTTTGAAACCCTGTCTCAAAAAAACAAAACAAAACAAAAACAGTTGGTGTGTGTGTGTGTGTGTGTGTGTGTGTGTGTAATTCAACTTTATTTTCTATAATGCTAATTAACCTTTTTCATTAAACCCACAAAGATTTTTAATGCCATTCTGATTTTAGATCCCTTTAAGAGTAACTGAAAATTTGAGGTTTACTCAATAATACATATGTGACCTTGAGTCATCTCTCTGAGAAGTCCACTGTTCAGCTTTGCCCCAAACATAAATCCATCCTAGCTGCTCCTGCCAGCTGGCCCCAAAGTCCTCATGCCATTTCTGAAACCTCAGTACACAGATAATGGGAGTGCTTCTGTCTGTCCAGCTTTTGAAGCCGAACTTGGGTTGTCATTGGCTCCATTCTTATCACCCTATCACATCAAAGCAAGGTTTGACTAATGTGGGACATAGCAATGCATGTACAAAATTACATGTGTATGCAAGATTAGACAGGCAAAATGGCTCAGCAGGTAAAGATGCCTACTAACAAACCTGAGGACCAGAGTTCAATCTCTCTGAGAACTCCATGGTAGAAGAAGAGAACCAACTCCCACAACTTGTCTTTAGACTTTCACATGTGTTCCCTGGAATAGAAACAAACACACACACACACACACACAGGGAGATACACGTCTTTATGCACACACACACACACACACACACACACACACACACACACAAATAAATGTTAAATTGTTCAATAAGTAGCTAAGAGCATATGAGGAATAAATTGCATTATTTATGATACTTTTGACTACAAGATGCAGAAAGTAACTACTACGCTAAAGAAAGGGAAAAGACTATTGTGAGAGCTCTAAAACTATTGTATGAAATCTAAGGAAAAAATAGATCAAGAGTTCAATCCTGGGGGACTGGAGAGATGGCTCAGAGATTAAGAGCACTGGTTGCTCTTCCAGAGGTCTTGAGTTAAATTCCCAGCAACCACATGGTGGCTCACAACCATCCTTAACAGGATCTGTTCTTCTCTTCTGGTGTGCATAAAAACAGAGCACTCATTTATATAAAATAAATAAATCTTTGTTTTAAAAAAAATATTTCAATCCTGTACACCCTAGGGAATTGCAAGCACCTCAGCCACTATAGAGGGCTCAATAGTAGGAGCTGCTTCAGGGTTGAGTGTGTACTCACACCTCAAAATGCAGCTCCTATTTCCAGTTCCCAGAGTAGCAATGGCCCAGCTCCATACTCCACAGCAGAGCAATTACACAGAATCTGTGACAGTCTGGGTTTGATCATGAGCCATTCTGAATAATTTAAATGTACTCAGTTTGGCCATTACCTAACAAGGCAGTTTATTTGGAAGCACAAAACAAATAGTAGAAGCACAAAACATCACTAGAACTATCTCATAGAGATAGTCACAGAAAATCTAAATGAACACATTGACCTTTAAAAAAAAAAAAAAAAGCCTGTTACTTTCATTGACTTGGAACACAGCAATGGATAATTAGCAGAATGTATGTGGTACTTAAGGATATTATGTCCAGGCAATGGTGGTGCATACCTTTAGTCCTAGCACTTGGGAGGCAGAGGCAGGCAGATCTCTTGAGTTAACGGCCTGCCTGGTCTACAAAGAGGACTCTAGGACAGCCAGGACTACATGGAGAAATCC